CATCGACGAGCTCGGCGCCTTCCGTGTAATGGCCTTTGGCCCAGTTATTGCCGGCGCCAGACTGGCCGAAGATGAAGTTATCCGGTCGGTACAGACTACCGAACGGGCCATTACGTATCCCTTCCATCACGCCGGGTTCCAGGTCGACTAAGACGGCGCGCGGTACATATTTTTGCCTTGAGGCCTGCGACGCGGCGTGAGTTTCCCCAAGTATGTTTCATGGGGAAAGGAAAAGGACTCATACCTCATTGAAGTACACATCCATGCGCGCACGTTGGATCTCATCCGAGCCGTGGTAATCGCCATTCTCATCGAGTCCATGCTCACCGGCTATGGTTTGCCTGCGCTCCGAGTCAGTGTATCCCATAACATGGAAGATCGAGATAAATGAGAACATACCAGAAGGCGGAGCCGATTTGATTGCCCTAACATGAGAGTCAGCATGTCCTGCACAAGGCATGGACGTAAGGGCAAAGTTCACTCACACATTGGCCAATGGAGACTTGGACCTAGAATTTTCAGTCAGCTGTCTTCTCAAACTCAGCGTGATAAAAGTGATGGAATATAGAGGGCTCATCGACGAAGTACTGAAATCGTACCTAGGAAGAGCCAGGAAGACAGAACAAGAAAACTTACAATCTCACGCATCTCAACGTGAAAAGCGTGGGAATTTCAAAAGCAAAGGGTAGCAGGAAGGTCGCTGAATGACTGAGAGGCGCAGGTCCGTTGGGGCGTGGGTCGACAGTAGCTTTTTATCAGGTGGTAGGTAGTGAGCTAGTGGCGATGTGGAATAGTGATGGTGAGATGAATGAGCTGGAAGAAGACGCGTATATAAGCAGGCAGCCAAATAATTTTCGACTTGTTTTCTTTATCGGTTGGTGTAGTAACCCCGAACCAACAATTATAGGCAGCAGAATTCCGGGTCGGCGGGTCGGAAACTTCGGTAGTCGTCTAGATTTGAAATTCGAAATATTTTGAAGTTGTTTTATGAGTCACGCCTATAGTGCTTAAAAGCATATGGCCATTTTTATACATAGTTTTTTCTCCTTACAACCAGACTTTATTAGATTTGCTATCCACTTACAGCAAGATAAACTTTCGTACGTTACATTGAGATACCAACGAATTTGGAGCTAGACACTTGGTACCTCATCTTACCGCCTCTTGGTACTAGGTAAAGGAGCGATATTCAGTAACGTGCAAAACGCTGCTCTTGAAAAGAACGAAACCCAGAGCCCATCAACCCTTTTATGGGCATGCTATGAAATGGATGCTGTCATATAAGCATTTCGACCTTGCTTGCGATGCAATGCCGACGCAGCTGCTGATATAAATTATGATATAGAAAAGGAATATCTTCCATCCACATTTACTTGGGTTGCGCTGTGGAGCTCATGCGACCGCTTCATTTCTTTGGCATTATAACAGGTGTTTACACCTTAAAGTAGATGAACTTGGTGCATCAAAGTATTTCTTTGAGTCTGGCTAATTTTCGTCGGACGCGGGACCGGTTATTTCAGAGATTCTCTTATCCGCTCTCTCGAGCAAATATTTGAATACATGTAGTAGCTCTGGGATGACATTAGTTGATCTTGGGTCGAGGATTTGCATTGGTATTTGTCCTCTTAAAATCCGGCTGCGTGATGTTGACCATTCGAGTGGGGTTGCATGAAAATTCCAATCATTACAATTCCTATGATACGCAGGTATATAAGGTATTGCCAGCCCGTAGTCATCAATCAGTATGGTTCATGCTACCTTCTAGCAGCTTTCGTGGCGCTGCCTATGGTGTGATTATGAAAGAGACTGTCTTCCTGCCATGTAGTAGATATCCTTGTCTACTCCATGTTGGACAAGGTATTACACTATATTAGCAATCTTAACCTCCAAGTCGGCAATCAAAGCATCCCAATGTCACTAAGCTACACCTAAGGATTGTATGTAGAAGGTAGAAGGTAGCACAAAGTTTGGAATAAGGTTGCTTGTTTAGTTTGTTACATTGGCAGTAGTAGGTTAACTAGAGGTAACGACTGCATTTATGATTTCAAAGACTATTACAAAATGAAGTTACATTACAAGAAGAAGGTAACTTCTATGTCCTTGCGTTTGCAAAAGGAAATCGTGATCGATAAAGGTAACTCTGCTGTACGATTATATTTATTTATCATTACCATGGTTTGGAATTCTTCATTTTTCATCATCTTAACAACTTCAGGTTAGAATCAACATCAACAAGCTATGTCTAATTCTATCTTCAATACAGTCTTAACCACCACCATCATGTCCACAATTGTCACGTCGGTCCTAATGATATCCCTACTTACATTCTGTCGCAAAAACGACGCCGTTATTGCCGCACAGCAACAACGCCTGACATCTCCCGCGATAAGTTCAAGTAGAAGAAATATTAACATACTATGGCAAATCCTATCCTTAAAATAGTTCCAACCCCCTCCACCACCATGTCAGCAATTGCCGCAACGCTTGTAACCATATCCCTCCTTACATTCCTACTGGAATTTACGGAGTAAGTCCTCCAAACAACCAAGTTTCTCAGGGAATTCCTAACCGTATCTACTGTAGTCCAGCGAGAATAAGACCACCGGCTCCTATGAGCCAACCACCCCGGCCTCCCCATAATCATACGCCGGCACCGACCCACGCCAACCTACTATACAATCACCCTCAGCAGCCGCAGACGTTAGGAATTTATACCCGTCTTCATAAAGCTATGTTATATATTGATTTCAGCACTAAAAGCAAGGTTATAATTCACTCCACCCACTCCACCAGTGGCTTAAGTGAAATAAGTGGCCCTTGTTCTACGATAAAGCTATATAAAGTAGACTTACGGGAGGTATATATGGAGTGGGTGGCTATAAAATAGACGTAAATTAGCTAGCTAAAGTAACGTGTATACTAGTTACTAGCGCGTATATTAACTACGGGTAATGCGTATATTAGCTACAGGTAAAAGGTATATCAGCTATAAGTAAAGGGTATATTAGCTATAGCTTTTAGGAATATACTACCTATTAAAAAAACTAATAATTTTATTAATAATTACTAATAATAGACTTCCTTTTTTATAATTAGTCTACCTACCTACTTATTTCTACTTACGAAAGTTTTAAGTAAACGTGGATTAGTTAGTAATAAGGCCAGATAGAATGGAATAAAGTGGAGTGGCTCCTACAATATGGCCCACGCGTGGATTAGCATGGAGTGGATTACAACCTTGACTAGAAGTTATAAGCGTACAGATAACCCATTCGGTGATGTGGGGGAAAGCGGGAAACTTGGTTGGCTAATGGGCGAGGTGCCAGGGCGAGAAGGGAGCCTGAGAGGGGGCCGATGCGAGTGGTAAAGGGGTCAGTAGAGTGGCATTGCATGTGTGTGAGGTGGTTGGTGTTGGTTATTTTATGAGGGTGATAAGCCTGCTATTAAGCACCGGGTTTACTACGCTGAATTGTAATGAACCTACAAATAATCACTGTAATAATGAGGCTGTACTAATCATAACACAACAATTTGGTTATTTACGCTTGTTAAATAGTAGCCTTTTAATCAAGGGAGGTATGACGATAATAGGGATATTAGTTATAGTGCCTTAAGTAACCTCCAACCTGACAAGTGCCTAAAGATATATCCCAATGTCTTTGCCAAGCCGCCATGCAGGACACATCTAAGTCTTCTTTTCTTCCTTCGGCCATGGCCACATTCTCTCTAGGGGCATGTCGTTGTAGATAACATTGATCCACGTTGACGGATCACGGCTCTGCCACATATATATCTCTCTCCCAGAATATCCCCAAGCATAGGCACTATCCATATTTTCCACAGTCAGATTTTCAGGCCTAACATTTCTTAATGCGGTGTAGCTACTAGATTCGATTTTTAGGTTGGCAAGCCAACGAGTTGGCTTTTGAAGGTCCTGCAAGAAATATTGTCTCGTATGGCTCCAGGTCAGGCCTGTGGCATTCTTGCTCAACCAACCCTCCTCCTTCATCACGTTATCCGATGTCCAGTAGATCCCTTCGCGCATCAAGCGTGGCACGTCGACACATTCTATTACCATGAGGCCCCGCCACTCTTGTGTTGCAGGGTGTGCCGTGGGGTCAGGGGAAAATGTAAATTCTATATTCTTCTTGAGCGGGTATAATTTCCCATTTGAGACTGGCCCTGTCGTTGAGGTCTTTGTTGGAGCATCGCTGGGATTGTGGTGTTGTTGTGCATTGTTGTTTTGTATACAATCATAGGGAGGAGGGTCGCTCTCCTGATTCGACTGCCCGGTTCCCTCTGTGAGAGTTTGCTTGACCATTTTGTTATAATTTTCGTATCGATATTACCGGGTAGGTGGACAAGGAACAAGGAGGTGTAATTCCAAGTAGAAAGGGGATTTTGACCTATTAAATTGGTATGGAAAGTTTTCTTGTCTATTTGAACTTCATTTTGAATATGGGCAGGTAATCAACAACTACTGACGGGCTTAGAGGGCCCTTATATACAGGGTCCCAAAGATGAAATGCGTTAAACGTAATGGCTGGGTGTTAAGCTCCAACTATGATTCAACTCTATCACGGGCTAACATCAAACCTTACTGCTTACACAAACAGTCGGTCTTATACTAGTGATCACTTATGAAGTGTAACGAACTCTCTGGGGGTCTGAGAGAGGATATTATCGTTAAAGTTCGGTATGTCCAAAAGATCAGGCTTAGATGCAATTCCCAACAGCACTGGGCTTTAATTAACATCGCTATTATCAGGGACATTATCTGAAACAATGCCTGTAATTCCACCAGTTACTGCAATGTCGCAGAAACGACACCGTGATTGCTGGCACAACAATAACGCCTGATATATGCCGTGACGTATAAAAATAACACATAGACAGCAGACCATAAAGTACACTTCGGATTTTTGATCGAAAAATGAAACGCAATTGGTCGCTGTCACGAATGATGTAATGGGGGGGAAAAGAAAATTTTACCAAAAGATTGACAAGGAAGGGGTTCGAACCCTTGCATCTTACGATAGTGGTGCTTAAAACATCTTGGTAGATATTGACTTAAAACCACCGCCTTAACCACTCGGCCACCTTGCCCTAAGGTTCCCGGATTTCTTATCGCTACCTATATTAATGGCCGCTAGTGCCCGGGGCTGCACCAATCTAATCGAATCGAGCATCTAATTCCTGTACACACCGAGATTTAGCATGAATCAATTCTGATTTATGATGCTGCCAAATTGATACGGATTCCATCGCTGAAGTAACGAGTGTGAGGATTTTTAACCTGGTGACCTTGGATGCGATGATAACATGGACTGTTTCACAAGTAGACAGTGTTGGAGAGATATCGATAAGACTTAAACCAACAAGTCATTCTTACAATAGAAGGACAGCGATAAGCTCCAGCCTGTGCGTGTGTTTCCTGCATCGGATGTTGAGGATTGCAATGATAGGGACGTGGGGTGATTCGAAATAGGGCTGAAAAGTGCTCGCATCAGATCGGTGGCGTTGCGGGGTTTCAAATCAACGACCCTTGTCCAGACCTTTGATATCTAGCACTACGTGTCTTGCGCCTGGAACATTGCTGCCTTTGAGCACAATGTGTCTATCTCGGCTCGTACAGCGTCATGTCCATGGCTGCATGATGTACAGGAAGGACTCATCATTTGACTCACCCCGAAACACTTATTAGAAGCCCTGTAGGATAACCCCTACGCTAGTACACGTGTGAGGCGGTGTGTCGGAGGATATGCCTCATTCGAATCCAATCCTTCAGCTGTGCGATTCATTGCTGTTATATGAGATATCATCGTTCAAGATGGCACTTCGGCACATCTGGGCTAATACTTACTCTCTACGAACCTTTGCCTCCTTGATTGGCCCTCTGAGTATATGTCAGCAAGCTGTGGCTACCATCAATTCAAAATAGGGGCTTTGTACCTCTGGGTACACTGAAGGCTCGTAACTCGGCCACAATAGTCAAGACGTACACGCGCAAGCATGAATTCCATTTCCGATTACTTGAAGCCAACGGCCAATCCAGATCAATCAACGATGAGAGCTAAACTTCGGAAATTCTTTAGTAGTGGGCGCCACCCGTCGGCACTAGGTATGAAGGGAACGGCTTATCACTCCATCATATAATAAGTTATAGCCGAGTCTAGCATCGTTGAGGACTAACCGTGGAACAGAGCTACACGGTGAACTTATTATCCAGATCGGGGCTAATGTAGAACTTCGCGGATACAGCTCTAGAAGGCCTCGAAGATAGGTGATCTGCGTCGGGGTGGCTTTTAGTAAGGGGTGAAAATCTCACTTCCTTTGCCAACCTTCCCATGCAAGACTAGTCGTAACCAGCCACCCCGATGTTATTGGCTGAGATTACTGGTTACCTTACTGTCGCGTAAGATATATGATTTTGGTGTTGATGGAATGTGCTTCGTTTGTGCTAGGGTGCCCTGCTCATCTGGATTAAGGACTCTTAAGGTGTAGTACTTCCTTCAAAAAAGAAATGAGATGCTCAAGAGCCATAAACAGACATAACCGTCGACCTGAAATAGACACGTTTCTGGTATCATGTTATATGGCACCAAATTGTCGGTGTGTCTATGCTGATGGCATTACATGATCAATCTTGGTAATCGACTTTCGTATATCTTATGCGCTTTATACGGCCAGATGTTTTTGGATGTGTAGTCCCTGAATTCAGCTTAGTGAATGGTTAAGTACCGACCAATTAGGCAGGGCTTGGCGAAATAGCCTACATTTGGACTTAGTGAACATCTTAGCTGACAGTTATTACGTCCGTATTGTTCGAATTTCTCCGTGCCTGGGCTTTGCAGCTTGGTTGGCTCATATGACATAGATGCTACTAATGTAGTGAGCATGATATAGTGCCTATTGCGCAAGATGGTTTAACTCCACTTGAACATCCAAGCCCTGAAGGGACTACCTAGACCACCCCGAATAGCTGTTCTTGTTCAACTTGAAGAAATTATCGAGTAGGCTTAAGCATGCTTCATAAACAATTGTAATGCAGTTCATATTGTGTTATCGTGGCGCTTAGCTGAAGCTGAATTTAGTTAATTATCTTGCCATACTCTTGACAGTCTTTGTCGTTTTAGCGTGTCTCTCCAACTGTATACCTAAATTCTGGAGATATTAATATCTAAAGAAGCCCGGTTACGTTTATAAAGCACTGAATTTGACATCATAGTGCATGTATCCTGAACGGACTTGCGTGCTGTAAGACTAATCGGATATGTGCTCGGTTATCGAGATCGGCGCCTATGTTGGAATTCGCCTCAGCTACTGAACAAGGAATGGACTAGTTTTCGTCAACGTGCCCTCAGTACATCCATAATCTCCGCCGACAATGCGCCCAATCGTACGCGAAGGTCTAGTTCGAATTGATTCAACAAAAACGAAGAAAAAGAGCACATTTCCTCTTCTGTAGCGTGTGTGTTGCCATTACCGGTGAGAGCATAATTGGGAGGCGAGTCGTCAGCTTGCCCTCTACTACCACGGCTACCATGATTTTCGAGCTGTTGGGATAGTATGTTCAAATATTGTTGTACGCGATGGAGCTCTCCAAGTACTAGGTGAGCAACTCTACGACTATGATCGTCGTTCGTAATCGAGCATCCGTCCATAACGGCTGGGTGCTGAAGAACCTGCCCAGAATATCTCAGAGGCACCATAGGGATATTCTTGGTATGTTCATTGCCATCTACTGCAATTTTCCCATGGACTACTGTTGTATACCGGTCCAAGACCTTAAATACAATCAGTGAGGCGATAATGAGGAGATACCCGTCTTTGGCGCAGTGACATTGCAATATAGCCTTGGTTTCCTCCAGTAGTTGCTCATTTTCCTGTATAATGGTTTGGGTATTGAGGTGCCAGCAAGTTCCAGTTTCGCAGTTATCCATGTTGCTCCCAGCAGTACAGATCGTAGCTCCATGACACGAAAGCTGCTTCGGAAAGCTGACTGCTCGTGTTAAGCAATCACACAGCTGATGAATCGGGGCGAATTCCTCATCATCAAGCAAGGTACCAGGCATTTTATCCAGAGACTGGTGACCCGAAGGGTGCATGGGCTTAGGTCTATTCAGAAGGTCAAATGATGATGCATTGAATGTCGTGGTAAGTTCTTCGTCAGATGGATGTGTTGGTGTATGGAAGCTTAAGTCAAGCATGTGGCTGAGCTCGCTGAAATTGATTTGGTCAATATTTTGAATAACCATATCTGTCGTATTTGATATATTGTGGCAGACGGGTGATAATTCGAGGTCGTGAAGCGACGAATTCGAGGTTGCCGGTGTAGATATATGCGTAAGTTCACCACTAGACCGAATCTCTGAGTAGTCGGAGGGGGGTTGATACTGATGAAAAGAAAACTGGGGGGCGTCTAATGATGGTGTAAAATCCGTTATAGATGGAGTGGACCAGGAAAACTCCGCTGGCAACTCCAGTGGGATATTCAGAGAATTCGTAGGACCGCTATCGCCTAGTCTCCTCACTTGCTTTCTACCCGCCCGCCTGGTTGCAAAATATTGGCATTTCATACCTCGTTTGACGCAACGAATACACGCCGGCTTCTCTTTACTGCACTTCACCTTAGATGACGCACAACCGTGACAGCTATCCCGTAGCTTCGGTACTGACGCCCTTGGTGGCGATAGGACAGGAGCTGTTCTAGGAGACGGCAAGCATGGTGATACATGCGATTCTCGTGAATGTAGAGTAGCCATAGTTTGGCAGTGAGTGTAAATTGAAACAAAGATATATTGCACCTGGTTACAATTACATGCTACTTCTGCTCAATAGCAATGGTAGCATAAAGTATAACCTTAAAATGGTGTAGATATTACGATGAATACTACATATCACGATGCTATGAAACTGGGTATTCTCCTTTTAAACAGTTTCTGGTGGTAGCACTATATCTTTACGCCCGACTGTTTCGAACGAAGAAGACCAGGTCAACAATAAAGCCACAGATGAAAAGCAGTTCAGAACTCCGACACTCGTTCTCCGCGAGCATAATACTTAAGTAGGCTTACCGCTTACTGTAACTGCTAAAGGCTACGTATCAGGTATCATACGGTGAGAAAGTCGCGCAGTTATTAACGCGCGGCCATATAAATATGCAAGCATGTTACACAGAAAGTAAAGTCTAAGTATCCAAATATAAGTATTGACTCAAGTTCAATGTACTCAAGACACTAAAGTGCAATTCAGTTCGTTTGTTTATGTTCTTGAGTTAGAATTGTGGCTGTGAGAGGTAGCCGAATAAAGTGACAAGCAAAGAGCGTCTAACGTATTTTCCTTTCCAGACTATCAATCTGAGACATTGACACCATAAGTGTTGAGGCGGCAGTTCCAGCGGGAGCAGTACACCCAAGCGTTGGAAGTCAAAAGCAGTGTCAGAGTCTGTAATGTGGCTTTTCAGCTGGGATATGTTGGCATCTCTGACCTATCACTCCTTTCCTCTGACCTCATCATGCTGTGAAATGTCGCACAGTTTTGACTTTGGTATTTAGATAATGGGTCGATAGCTACCCCGGTAAGAAATGGCAGCAAAGAAAATGCGCATCACACTTCTTGACAGAGCCAGTAAAATACACTTATTGCTTTTGCATGGAAAAGGGTTTAAGTTTATCTAAGTCTATCAAAATCTTTTGGTGGAACAGGAGTAGTGTATACAGGAAGAGCGTGAAACGTGAAATAGCAGTAGCATTGGCCCTGGTTTATCTTTTCATTGTTTGGGAGATGGAAAACTAGGTATCTGTCATCAAGAGAAAAAAGGTTTTATCTTTAATTCCTTTTCAATATAACACACAACAGTTAATCGTTGAGCTTTAGATAAAACCATCGCTAGACAATTATTATTACACAACACATAATAAGTAATAATCGTGATTATTACGTTACCATATTTTAGCCTCACTATTACTACCCGCCTTTGGCTTGGATGCGACATAAGTCGCATTTGCCAATATGTAAACGCAGGATCATTTTGCCTGACATGTAACCACCAAAGGTAGCTTAATCAAGGGTTCAGTAAGAGTTTTTAGGCTCGCTTTCTCACT